ACATTTTGAGATGAATTTATTTCAGCTTGTAAAAGAATTCAGTTGAACTAATGACAAATTTCAGCTAAAGAATGGCTGAATGAAATCACTCTATTGATTTTGGGATTCTGAAAGATTTGAAGAAATAATGAAAATACAGACTTGATTTCAGCTTGAATCTTCAATCGAAGCTACTCATCTTACAGTTAAAAAACGCTGCTCCGATACCGTGAACAATTTGTCTTTGAGAGAAGAAGAAATTTTATTCAACTCAAAAATTAGTTTACAAGAGGTTTGTTACAGTTTATATATACAGGTAACCATGGTTGAGTTAACCACAGTTAAATAACCATAACAACTAACTGATTAATTAACTAACTAAAACTAATTACACTAATAATCCAAGAATTACGACATAAAGCCTGGAAACATTCTACTAGATTCAAATTTCATGGCCAGAGTGGGTGACTTTGGACTTGCAAAGCTTCGTAATAGAGACAACATTCATGATAAACTCACAGGATATAGGGGGACTCCTGGCTATTCAGCACCAGAATTTTTGTTGAAGAATCATCCAATAACGCATAAATGTGATGTTTATGGCTTTGGAATGGCACTGTTCGAGAACCGACAGTTCTGGTGACGATAGCCTTGATTGGTTCCCTGAACGTGTTTGGGAAGAATATGAGAAAGATGAATTGGCTGCAATGGCATTAGCTTGTGGGATTGAAGAGAAAGACAGAGAGAAAGCAGAGAGAATAAGTAAGCTGGCATTGTGGTGTGTTCAAGACTCACCAGAGGCAAGGCCACTAATGAGTGATGTGGTAAAGATGTTGGAGGGAGAAGTGGAGTTTAAGCCACCTCCGAAGCCATTTCAGTATTTGTCCTCATTAGGAATGGTTCAGCCTCAGCCAATAGAAACTACGCATCGATCAAGTCATACCACAGGTACTGAAGGAACTCAGTCTCGGCGGTTCAAACAGACCACTCCCACTATGACCAAGGACGGAACCCAGATAGCTACTTCAGTACAATAACTGAATTTGATGCCCCAAAACGGCGGAAGATCTTGTTACATGTTTAGTGGTTCTGCCGAATTTTTTTTTTTTTTTTTCTGCTTTTAATATTGGTTAATGTTGACCATCTAAGTCAATGAATTTGTCTTCAGATTTAATTTTCATGAACTTTGCTTAGCGTTTGGAATTTTACTTTTCATGTACTTCAATCTCAATGAAGGTAATTAATTACATTTACTTCCATTGCAGGTTCCGTAGAGTTTAATCAATGGAACTTAGTTAGAATTACCATAACTAGTGACAAACAACCATCTACCATCGTTTATCCATAAGCCAAAATGTCTTAGTTGAGAATCTGAAAAGGAAGGAATTGTGTGGTTAAATTAGTCAAACTGAGAACGACTGGTTTGGTTAAATCACTGTAAAATACTAAAATCTTATGCCATTTTCAAGTCTTTGAAGAGATACACAGTAAGAGATGAAGACAATAATGAGTTAATACGTACAAAAATATTTCAATTTCTAATAAAAATATTAAGTGATTGCGATTGCCTTATTTAGCTAGGCTTGAGCCGGCACTGACTTGTTTTTAAGTGTGTTAATTTGATTATTAATTAGCAAGTGATGGTGTGACCTTATGAAAATTAGCTTATAAACAACACGTAATTTTAGCTTATAAGTATTTGAAATTTTAAGCAATTACGTGTTTGGTTAAAGTACTTATAAGTAGTTGACATGTTTAGTAATATGTGACTTATAAGTATATTTTATTATAAAATGACTAAAAAAGGTACTACATTAAATAAGGGTATACTATGGAATTTTAAAATTAAACAAGGATAATGTGATAATATACTTGGTCAAACTAGTTTATAAGCAGAGTGCTTATAAGCAAAAAATAAAAAATAAAAAATAAAAAACAGGTCAGTTTAATTTTAGAGCTTATAAGCTAGTTTGACCAGTTTATAAGCTTAGACAAACACCCCTTTAGTCATATACTGTAATACATTGAAGTAAACGACTTTTTCCCACCCAAGGTTTGCTTTAATGACATTTTCCCATCCAAAAAGTTTTAAAATACCACTTTCCCAATCAAAGTTTATATTCTGTTAATACTCAAAATACATTTCACTTTCTTAACTGATATTCAGCGAGTTACCAGGAGCTAGGGTAAAAGGGGTTTTATAGAGTTAAGACTGGTGGATCGAATGGTGGCAAGTGGTGACCGTTTAAATATTTACCGTTGGAATCAGCCGAAAATCAACTAAGAACAAGAAAACTTAATTTTGCGGTGACCGGTAATCAGCGAGAAATTAGGTGTCAGAATGAGAGGGGTTTTATAGAGAGGTGACCGAAGTTTTAAATGATAGTAACAGAGAGAATTTTTGCCGTTGAAATCAGCTTTGGATAATAACCGAATATTAACTTTGGGTGGGAAAAAGTCAGTTTACTCATACATTAATCCTATCTATATATACGATGCTTGTAAAATCCTTGGGAATCCCACCATTACAAGACACATTCTCATTAGAATTTTGAGGGGAGTATACCGATTGCTTTACTTCTTGTGAGTTCAAGTGGGTTAAATAATATTTTATTAATCCATGGCCAGACACCGATTTTGTTCTGCATGATGAAACATTTTGATCGGTTATCTTTTAAGCTCCAAATGTAAGCCTTGGGTTGTAAATGGACGTGTTGTTTAAAAACCAGATAAACTTTGGTTCTTTCCTCTCCCATTCTCTCTTTCTCTATTATTGTAACTTGTTTCTATTATTTGATCTTCAATGTTATCACTGGCAGATCAGTAGGACATGAGCTTTGTCTTTAGAGTTTTCACTACGCCTGATTCTTTTCCTAATCTTGAACGTTTCATTCTTGACAGATCTTAACTACACACTGCAAGTGCGAGGTATCACAGAGAGCTCGAATCAAGAAAGCCTCTTTTCTACACTATGTCACAGAATTATTACCCTCCCCCTTGGTATACTACTACAAATATACCAAGTGTACCAAGCGCTACAGCAAGCGCCACGACTTTGATAATCGTCTGTAAGTCATCGAACAAAAAGAGAGAGTATATGACTTTGATAAAAATTGTTACGTTTTCAATGATATTTATTACAGTTGGTTTGATTAAAAAATTTAATGATTTGAAATGTTGTTAATTGCAGATGTAGTATCCAGCTTTGTAGTGTTCGCAACAATTATTGTAATAGTTATTGTTATCTATTACAAATGTGCAAAGACAGCAAGCAAAATTCTTGTCCAAGATTTCAGGCCAGTTGCTTTTACACCACCATCATTTAGATTGCCACCAATTACACCACCACCACCACCATCAAAAAACAAGCCCATCCGGCGGCCTACCGAAACGGTTCGGGTTAGGGAGGCCACTGCTACGTCCATGGAGAAGTTCCTCCAAGAAATAGAAGCCGCGAAGCCTGTCAGATTTACCGCAGAGCAACTAAAGAAATTTACAGATGATTACAAAACTGGGCTCGGTGCTGGAGGTTTTGGGGAAGTCTACAAGGGACAGTTTCCAGATGGAGTAAGAATTGCAGTAAAGATTCTTAGAAAGAGTTTAGACAAAAGAGATGAAGAGCAATTCATGGCAGAAGTGGGCTCAATTGGAAGAACTTATCACATAAACCTGGTTAGGCTTTATGGATTTTGCCATGACAGAAACATGAATGCGATTGTATATGAGTACATGGAAAACGGATCCCTGGACAAATACTTGTTCAAAGAGAGTAAAACAAAAGCAATCAAATGGGAGAAGTTACATGAAATCGCGATCGGGACAGCTAAAGGCTTAGCATACTTGCATGAAGAATGCCAAAACAAAATCATTCATTATGGCATACAGCCTGAAAACATTCTACTAGATGAAAATTTCATTCCAAAAGTAGGTGATTTCGGACTTGCAAAGCTTTGTCATAGAGATAGCACTCATGTTACACTCGCAGCAAATAATTGGGGAACTCGTGGCTACTCAGCACCAGTAATCTCGTTCAAGAATCATCCAATAACATATAAGTGTGACGTATATAGCTTTGGAATGGTATTGTTTGAGATAGTTAGTGGGAGAAGAAATACAATTGTTCATTCTTCTCGGGATAGCCTTGATTTTTTTCCTCAACATGTTTGGGAAAAATATGAAAAAGGTGAATTGGGTTCAATGGCATTAGCCTGTGGGATTGAAAAGAAAGACAAAGTAGAGAGAATGTGTATGGTGGCATTGTGGTGTGTACAAAACTTGCCTCAGGCGAGGCCACAAATGAGTGCTGTGGTGAAGATGTTGGAGGGAGGAGTGGAGATTTTGCCACCTCCAAAACCATTTCAGTATTTGTTCCCGGTTAGGGCGGCTGCGCTTAATCCAATACTATAAAGTACTAGTGATGGTTCAAGTATAGGCACAAGTGAAGAAAGTCAGTCCCGCTGGTACAAGGAGTACACCACCCCAATCGTGGCCAAGTATGAAATAGAGATAGCTACTTCTCGATAATAACTCAGCTAGTAGTTCTGCGAAACTGCAGAGTCTTATTATTGTAAAGCTTATATTTGGTATATCTTGTATTTATTTCTTCACCTATATATCTCAAGTAATTTATCATCTTATGTTCAAATAAATCAAAGAATATGGATCATCTGTGTTTGATCTGTCTTCATCTTTCACTAACTACTATTTATACGTTATTTTCAGAGAATGTTTCTAGGTGTTTATAATTTTCTGACAGAAAAAAGGCAAATTTCAGAGGCTTTATTTACCAGAAAAAAATGGGTCCGTATCTCCTACGGGATTGACCCCAAAAAAGAAACGGTATGTAGCAAGAAGTGGTCAATGTTAAGTATGCCCATCATTTGGTTGTTTCCTATAGTTTTGACTTGTTTTTCAACTATTTGTTCTGTCATTATTAGCAGGGGATGACATGGTACTAAGTAGCTATACAAATTTTGGGATCATTTTTCTGAACTTTTTTGGTCAACTGACAAATATTAGATATGATTTGCGCAGAGTCTCTCAATTATATAGGGACGGAACCATCTGTATATAACGAATTTATTGAACTGCCTCTCAATAGTTCATTTGTCTGTTTTCAATTGCGAAAAGAAGTAGAAGTTGCTTCAAATGTCAGTGTCAGTGCACAGGTTCTTGGTCATCTTCAAATTCAATTTCGACGTGTAGTGCTTACAGTCACACATTTAATTGTCCTTAATTTACAAGAAAATTCCTCTTCTTAAATTCACCCTGTCTTCGTTGAATCTTCCTCCTTTGTCTGTAAATTTATTTGTTGAATATATAGGACCTTAGCTGGAGATATAAACTAAATAAAGTGAAAGAACTTGCAGAGGCATTTGCTGCTTTTGTTTTGAAGCTGAGTAAGTATGCTCATATGGTCATTACTTGTAATATTCCTTCACATTTATTTATATGCATAGAGATATTCATTCTCTTTACCTGACATTAGATTCTTTTTTTTTTTTTTTCCAGATTTTAATCACTTGTTATTTATGGCAATATATCATAAAATTTTTAAAAATTTAAATGAAATCAAATCAGAAGGGTTATCCAATTATTAACCGATAGAAAGCAATGACGATTCTGATAATGATTCAATAGCCATATGTAAGTTGTTATATTATAAAATATGATATAGAATGGATTGCAAATTAATTATAGCAGAGGTTAAAATCTAAATATTGTTTTGAAATGATGTTAATTGCAGCTGTAATAGTGACTTTGGTGGTGTTTGTGATAATTGGTGTCATCTCTTGCTATTGTGCAAAGAGAGCAAGAAGAGCAATTACACAAGAATTGCAAACAGCTGTTCGCGCTGCATCGACCAACACACAGTACACAAACACTCCCCACAATGCGGTTCAAGTTTGGGAGGTTATTGCTCCCACCATGGAGAATTTCCTCCAAGAAATGGCAAGGGAGAAGCCTGTTAGATTCATAGCACAGCAGCTATATTCATTTACCAGCAATTACTCAACTAGGTTGGGTTCTGGAGATTTTGGGGTAGTCTACAAGGGTCAGTTTCCAAATGGAATGAGGATTGCAGTAAAGGTTCTTACCTGGAGTGTAGACAAAAGAGCAGAAGAGCAATTCATGGCAGAAGTTGGCATAATTGGAAGAACTTACCTCATAAATCTGGTCAAGACTCTATGGTTTTTGCCATGACCAGTACATGAGCGCACTTGTCTATGAGTTCATGGAAAATGGTTCGCTTGACAAGTAATTGTTCAGCGAAGCACAAACAATTGAATGGGAGAAGTTACATGAAATTGCGATCGGAACAACTAGAGGTTTAGCTTACTTGCATGAAGAATGCCAGCAAAGAATCATTCATTATGATATAAAGCCTGGAAATATTCTGCTAGATGAAAATTTCTTTCCCAGAGTAGGAGATTTCGGACTCACAAAGCTTGGTAATAGAGACAACACACATGTTACACTCACAGGATATAGGGGCACTCCTGGCTATTCAGCACCAGAATTCTTGTTAAAGAATCACCCAATAACACATAAATGTGATGTTTACAGCTTTGGAATGGTACTATTTGTGATAATTGGTAGAAGAAAAAATACAATTGTTGGTCCTGGCGGTAGCCTTGATTGGTTTCCTAAACATGTTTGGGACGCATATGAGAAAGATGAATTGAATATAATGACAGTAGCTTGTGGGATTGAAGAGAAAGACAGAGAGAAAGTAGAGAGAATGAGTAAGGTGGCATTGTGGTGTGTACAGGACTCACCAGAGGGAAGGGCTCCAATGAGTGCTGTGGTAAAAATGTTAGAGGGAGGAGTGGAGATTGTGCCACCTCCAAAACCATTTCAGTATTTGTTCTCAGTTGGGATGACAGCCCTTAATCCACTAGAAACCAGTGATGGTTCAAGTTATACCACAAGCGAAGAAAGTCAATCTCGCTGGTACAAGGAGATCACTCCAATCATGGCCAAGTATGAAATCCAGATGGCCAGTTCTGCTTAATAAATAACTAAGCCAGTAGTGCCCCCAAAAGGACAGAGGTCCGGTTATAGCAACGCTTACATTTTGTATTCCTTGTACTTGCTGCTTCATCATTGTTTCAGAATTATTAAAAAAGTGGATAATTTGTTTTATTTGTCCTGGGTTTGTTCAATTATTTTGCCAGACTATCAAAGAGGCAGCAGGTTTCAGCGTTCCGCTAACCATCTGGGTTTGATTTGTCTTCAACTTTCACTTCGTACCAATTTTATGTCATTTTCAATGAATGTTTTAGGTGTTATCAGTAATTAATTTCCAGACAGAAATTTGTAAATTTGTCGAAGCTTTATTAAGCAAGAAATGATCAGTGTTAAGTATTGCCCATTTGATTGTTTCCTATACTCTTTGACTTGTTTTTAACTCTGTTCAGTCATTTTTTCTCTTTAACTTTTTTGGTCAAATTCAATTTCCACAAGGCTAGTCCCCATATATTGAATTTGCAGAGGAAAAAAATGAATTCAACTTAATTGTACAAGAAACTTCCTCTTCTTGATGTGAAGATATGTTTTAATCTTTGTTGAATCTTCCTCTTTTATCCTTAAAGATATTTAGCCCCTTGGTCGGAAATGTATATGCAATTAAAAAAGGTGAAGAAATTTGTTCAGCAAGCTGCAGAGGCTTTTGCTGCTGAGTAGTAAACAGCCAAATAGAGTATGGATTACTAATAATATTATCTCTTGCTGTTGTGCAACCAGAGTTAGAAGGGCAATTGTAAAAGATTTGGGAACAGTCATTGTCGCTGCATCAACCAACACACACACTCCCTCCAACGTGATTCAAGTTTTGGATGTTACTGCTCAAACGATGGAGAATTTCCTCCTAGAAATGGAAAGGGAGAAGCCTGTTAGATTCACAGCACAACAGCTAGATTCATTTACAAGCAATTACTCAACTAGGTTCGGATCTGGAGGTTTTGGATCAGTCTACAAGGGTCAATTTCCAAATGGAGAGAGGATTGCGGTGAAGGTTCTTAAATGGAGTGTGGACAGAAGAACTGAAGCGCAATTCATGGCAGAAGTGGGTGCAATTGGAAGAACTTACCATTTAAATCTGGTCAGACTTTATGGTTTTTGCCACGACCAGTTCATGAGGGCGCTTGTCTATGAGTACATGGAAAATGGTTTGCTTGACAAGTACTTGCTCAGCTAGATGTAAACTTAATTGAACCATAAAGCACATCTGAATTGCATAGAATCAAATCATTATTGAAGAAACCCTAAATTTGATAAGAACCCTAATTTGATATTGTAACTTTAATTATGCAATATATAAACAGTAAATTATATATACATATCAATCAATTGCATACTCTTGCATTCACATCAATAAATCAATTCATTCTATACCCTGATTGTGGATAAACATAAATCCCAGGAACTTGAACTTAATGATTTTCACAATAATAATGTAATAGGACAATTAATGCATACCTTGATCAGTGAATATTCTTGAACTTATCTTGATTTGCACTTGAAACGATGTTCCCCTCCCTTAGTTCCTTCAATGAAGACAACGGTTCTTGATGGAATAGAAAACTGTAATCTATGATTTATATAGAATAGAGAAAGGACCGGTTTCTAATTGCAGAATTCAATTGCAATACACCTTCTATCAAGATGTCTCCCTCATTAAACCAATATCCACACATATATAATTTCGGACTTGCAAAGCTTTGTTATGAAGACAGCACATATGTTACACTCACAGGATATAGGGGCACTCCTGGCTATTCAGCATCAGAATTCTTGTTAAAGAATCACCCAATAACACATAAACGTGATGTATATAGCTTTGGGATGGTACTGTTTGAGATAATTGGTAGGAGAAGAAATACGAGTGTTGGTTCTACTGACGGCCTCGATGTTGTTTCCTAAACATGTTTGGGAAGTATATGAGAAAGGCGAAGTGGGTGCAGTGACGTTAGCTTGTGGGATTGAAGAGAAAGCAGAGGGAATGTGTAAGGTGGCATCGTGGTGTGTACAAGACTCACCAGAGGCGAGGTCACCAATGAGTGCTGTCGTGAAGATGTTGGAGGGAGGAGTGGAAATTGTGCCACTTCCAAAACCATTTCAGTAGGGATGGCAGCCCTTAATCCACTAGAAACTACTACTGATGGTTCAAGTTATAGCACAAGTGGACAAACTCAGTCTCGCTGGTACGCAGACACCACCCCAACCATGGCTAATTATGAAATGCAAAGGCCTAGTTCCTGATAATAACTAAGACAGTAGCGCCACTACAAGGGCAGGGTTCCGGTTATAGCAAAGCTTATATTTTGTATTTCTTGTAGTTACTACTTCATCATTGTTTATAGGATTATCGAAAAAGCTGATATTTTGTTTTATTTGTCCTAGTTTTGTTCAACTGTTTTATTTACTATCTATAAGAGGAACGTGGGTGGTAAATAGCTTGCTCTTTCAGCTGTGTGTGCTAATATCCTTCTCGTCTTCGACTTTCCTAAATGCCTAACTAAGCACCAAACACGATTCAATATGGCAGCAATGTCTTTGAAAAATCCCCTTCCTCCCCATAAACACATTGTTATTTGATATATGGTTTGCTTCGTAATTAGATTGTCATTTAGTTTTATCTAGTGATCCACCCATTTTAGCTTCTGAGAGCTTTTATTTAGCACAACACAAGGCAATCTCTGCTTCCTTGCAGTATTTGGTGCTCAAAATCCAGGGGCAATACCATCCATCAGATAAAGAAAGTGAGTTCATGCCCTCTCATGATCAATAACAGTAGGCACCAGAAAATTTTATGTTAAATTGATTTCCAAATAATTTAATGGCAATTCTTTACAGAACAGATGTTTCAAACATATATATACCTGATGGGGTTTTTGTCTTCTTGATTAATCAGAAATTTTGAAAGCCTTTGTATATAAAACTGTGGCAGTTTTGTTTTATTTTGATTCAAATATTTCTTGATCTTTCCAGTCTTGTTCTCAGAATGTTCAAAACTGTACATCTCCAACGTCATGACTCCTGGAACCTGATTGGTAAGCTCTGACACTTGTAGAAGAAGATTCATAGTCCAATTTTAATTGACATAAAGGGAGGTTAACTAATATCTGATACTGATTCAAATTCTCATAACGTTGCAGCTATATTGATGATCATAGTGGGAGGACTAATAATAGTTGCAGCTATTGCTTGCTGTTTCGCAAAACTAATAAGGTTTAGAGGATTGGGAGTAACAGTTCCATTACCTGATGCGGGACTGAAAATTGTCCAAGATTATAAGATTGATGTCCCAATTATACTGGAGAAATTCCTCCAAGATTTAGCCACGGAGAAGCCAATTAGCTTCACAGCTGAGCAGCTAACTAGTTTCACAAGTAATTACTCAACAAAGTTGGGTTGTGGAGGTTTTGGGGTAGTCTACAAAGGACAGTTTCCAAATGGGGTGAAGATCGCTGTGAAGATCCTGAATAGTAGTTCATGTTTAAACAAGAAAATGAAAGCTCAGTTTATGACTGAGGTGGGCACCTTTAGCAGAACAGACCATATAAATCTAGTCAAATTATACGGTTTCTGCTATGATCACACGATGGCAGCGCTTGTATACGAGTACATGGAAAAGGGATCCCTTGATAAGTACTTGTTCACAGAAAAAGAAAAGATTAAATGGGAGAAGCTACACGACATTGCCATTGGTACAGCTAAAGGAATCGCATACTTGCATGAAGAATGCGGGCAACGAATCATCCACTACGACATAAAACCTGGTAACATTCTTCTCGACGCCAAACTCTCAGCTAAGGTAGCTGATTTTGGACTTGCAAGGCTTTGTAATCCTGACAACACCAATGATTCCACCTCAGAGTATAGAGGAACCCCTGGTTATTCAGCTCCAGAATTTTACTTGAGGGAATACCCCATTACACATAAATGTGATGTATACAGCTTTGGAATGCTACTATTTGAGATAGTTGGAAGAAGAAACAATGTTCAGGATTCTTCCTCTGATAACCTGAATTGGTTTCCAAAACAAGTTTGGGAAGAGTATGCGAGAGGTGAACTAGCAGCAATGATAGAGAGCTGTGGAATAGAAGAAAAACAGAGAGAGAAAGCAGAAAGAATGTGCATGGTTGCTTTGTGGTGTGCACAAGACTCTCCAGAGGATAGACCTCCGATGAGTGCTGTGGTTAAAATGCTGGAAGGAGGAGTGGCGATTGCTTCACCCCCAAAACCATTTCTGTATCTGGATTCTATTCGGATGGAGGCACTGAAATCGCCATGCAATTATAAATTTGTGAGCAATATTTCATGTTCCCTTTTTGATATAAGCAAAGGATCCGCTAGAGGAGTTGATTCTTCTTGGTACAAAGGTTCCAGTACTCCCATAGTCCCATTATGACCAAGGGTGGAATTCGTTTGGCTATGTCACCCAGTCCAAAATAGCTCAACTACTTCGAATAATCAGATTCATCTGTATAATTTATATTTGAATTTATGTCATGTTCATCTATCTTTAAAATCAGTATGATATGTGATTTTTAAAATATAAATAAATTGATACTATAGATAAATCTCGATAAGTTAATATCCTCAAGATTATGAAAATTTATTAATTAATCGATACATTATTTAACTGTATAAATTAATAATTTACCTAGAAGAAAACGAGATAATTGAGTTATTCAATGAGGAGCAAATTATTGAAAATATCATAGGAAATGACAAAGATGATAAAATTTGTCTCGCACAAAGATGTACTCAAAGCAGTAATCATATTGCATAATTTTCTCTTGCAATACAAGAACATTACAACAAAGCTTCTTAAAGTACTAAGAAAAATTAAAGATGAGGTCCAAGAAAACATCAATTTGGAGAGAAAATAAAGGGGTGTTTGTCTGAGCTTATGAAAATTAGCTTATAAGTATTTGAAATTTTAAACAATTACGTATTTGGTTAAAATACTTATAAGTGACTGATAAGTAGTTGACGTGTTTCGTAAAATGTGGCTTATAAGTACATTTTATTATAAAATTACTAGAAATAGTACTACATTAAACAAGAGTATTTTTTTTTTTTTCCTTATAAACTCAAAAAGGTTATAAACAAACAAATCAGCTTAATTTTAAAGCTTATAAACTAGTTTAACTAGCTTATAAGCTTAGACAAACAACCCTTAAATAACATTGAAGTCATGTATATATATAAGTTTGACTTTGATTTATAAGAGATTATTAATTTATATATATCAAGTGATACATGTGTGTGTTTTTTTTTTTTTTTTTAATGTATTATCTTATAAATTTAGTGAAATTAATTTACTACAATCGGTCCCAAGTAGAGACCGACTAAAAATATTATTTAATCGATATTATTAATTTATTAAATATTAATTTATCCAGATGTAACTCTATATTGTAAGTCTAACATAAATACATAATTAGAAAATAATGGAGTATATAACTCAAGAAGTCAATTTTCAGGAGAAACTTTTTAGTAAAACCGTTATATATTTGTAAATAACCAGTTACAGAATAAGTGTATGTTAATGTTGGGCAGCATAACATATTTCTTATTATAATTTTACAAGATTAATTATTAAAGTATAACCTTAAATTTGGTAACAAATTCATATTTATAGCAAGAGATTGCTAAAAATAAAATAAATAAATAAGGAAACAATTTTAGATCATAAATCAATATATAAATAAAGCAACATTAATTTGTAATAATGCAAATTAATAATTTAACAATAAAGACAAAATTCAGTTTGCAATAATTTTTACAGTTTTCAACCAATAAAGTAGTGCCACGTCAAATTCCTTCTTAACCACCTTTAACCACCGCTACTAACCCCTAACGGATCAAATAGTTTTGAGTCTTTTAACTTGGTTTTCACTAACTCACTCTCTTCCGGACCACCACGCACGACACGAGCACGATGGCCAGCACTTCCAGACCCAGGCGACTCGCGGAGCCCCGATCCGGAGGCAAAATGGTCCGCCTCAGGCGAAGTGCTGCTAACAGGACTCCTTACGACCGCCCAGCCTTATCCCCAAATCCGACACCTCAAAACCCTAATTGGCTCTCCAAATTTATTTACTCCCCTACTCGCTTAATTGCCACCGGCGCCGGAAAACTCCTTTCCTCCGTCTTCACCGGCGAATCCTCCGCTTCATCTTCCTCTTCTTCAGGTTCTAATTAGCTTCATTTTTACTTGTGTACAAGATTTTTTTAAGGAGGGGAGAGACCTCGTGCTTTTTAAAGTAGAAATGAGAAATTAAACTTTACTGCAAATCTCCTTTTTTTTTATAAGTAAGGTTTAAATGGAGAATTAGTGGATTTTCTGCTTCAGTGAAGTAGAATGGAACGTTGAATTAAACGTTGTCTATCTAATTTCGAGATTGTTTATGTTTTCAGAGGATGACAGTGATGATAGTGATAATGAAATATCTTCTCAGACAACTGACTCAATCAAAAAGGTAAGTGAGGTTTTGTAATAATTACTATAGTTTTCAGCTTTTCTTTAGAATGTGATTTTGATGTATGTGGTTATGTTAGAAACGAGCTCTAGAAGTTATTCAGCACCCGAGTGAACCCCAATATCTAGTGGAGAAGAGTGAAACAAAGTATCTAATAGAGCGGCTTATCATGCAGGTGACATTTTCCAGGTAATTGCCAATTTGTAGCTTCCTTGTATCATTTTTTTTTTCATGATTGTTTCTTCCTTTAATCCTACCCTTAATCCTTATGTTTGCTTGGTATTTTCATTTATTATTGTTGGTCACCTTTTGTAAATATATTATTTACTTATGTGTACACTTTTTCTGGTTTAGTGCAACTAGATTGTGATCAATTTCTGTACTAGAATAAGAACTCTTTCTAAGTACAAGTTCAGAACTTATTGTTTTTTATGTTTTTGGTTTGAAATGATATTACTATTATTGTTTTTTAACATATTTGAGTTCACTGCTCTTTGAAAGTTTCTATGTACTATTTATACTTATTTCTCTTTAAAATGGTTTGACTCCAAGTTATGTATGGTGCTAATGTTTAACCAGGGAAGAGTTCAATAGACTGAAAAGTATTATTAAGTCAAGAGTTGTAGATAGCCCCATCTTTGGAGATGCAGAGGATAGAAGATTAAGTGATCTGTCCAATAGAACAGCTGTCAATGGTATTGCTTTCTTACAAACACAAGAAAATATTAAAAATTGAGCTGTCAAATATGGAAATTTATTGCTGCTGTAATTATATTGCAGATGTCGACATGCCAGATCTCTGCAATGCAGCTGTTTCAGAGGCAAAAAAGTGGTTAGAGGAGAAGAAATTGGGTTCAAATTCAAAGTCTGATTTGGAACTTGGAACCTGCACTTTGAACTCTGCTATGTTGCCTCATGTTCGTAACTGATTTCTATAATATCTCTGTGGTAGACCTTATGGTTGCTTTCAATCACTTCTATTCAGGCTCTAAATTAATAAATTTTTGTTTTATATTAGCTTACTACTTTTATAATCACATATATATGAGAATTCTGGAGCATGAACTTAAAATTCGGGTGTAAACTCATTCATGCATAAGTTAACTCTCATATGGAAGTATTAATAGGAGTGTGTGAAACTTTTGACTTTTTCTTATATGCAAGTTTACTGAAAGACAAAGTTTTACAAACTCCTATCAGCTCACAAGCCTAAGTTGAGTGGATTTTAAATTAAGTGAAAGTTCACAGGAGAATGACTATACATGTGTGTGTGTGTGTGTGTGTGTGTGTATTGGAAATATTTCATTTTAATGACATGAGGGTAATACTTAGCTTTATTAGTAATTCATTTTCTCCTGTTAGGGCTTTTCCAATGGATTTTGAAATTGACATTTGAAATGTGGTTGACTTCCCCTGCAGTGAAATTGTCCAAATTTTTTTATTTTCTGGTCCACACAAAAAAGGAACATAAAAATATATGTTCTTTTTCTTCTTTTTCATTAATATGTGTTTAGTATTTTTTTTTTTTTTTTTTTTAAATTTTGGGAATGTAAGTGAATTGTATTTTCACTGGCCAAGGAAATCCTTGTGTCACTTCTGTGTTATGGTATATTTGTTTGAGACCTGGTGGAAACCTCACTGCCTCACCTTGTCTAGAAAAGGCATAGTTCAAAACAGTTGATTAAAAATTAAAGTTGTAAATGTAATGCCATTTGCATCTCTAAATTGATTTTCCTGTTGCAGGGCTCTGAGGTGAAGCGGTCTCCAGTTGATGTGGCCAATCATATATGCGAACGCGTCCACCATGGACTTCTCCACTGGGAACCGTACTGAATATCAATTACCATCACCAACTAGGATACAGCTTTTAAGGACGAAACACCATATTCATCGGTTTCTCTTCTTTGTCATCCAGGTTTTCTTTTCTTTCTTTCTTTTTTTTTTTTTTTTTTCCATAAATTCATTGGTAATTTCATTCTTTTATTTTTTTAATGATGAACAGTAATTAAGCTTTGATGCTAAGAACTGTTCTCTTAAGTGAAGTTGGCTTATAAGTTGTGGAGAAAGTTTTGGCATTATGTTAATTGGTGAACATATATCTGAATTACAGAATTCATTATGTGAATTTCAGGATGCTAGGAAGAGTTAAATCATTGGAATAAACTTAAAAGGTTTAATTTATTTACTGATAGTAGGGTGATTGCAATTTTTGAGAAAGCTGGTTATATGATTAAACCTGTTATCTACTTCCTGAATTTGTTGAAATGATGTTGGGCTAGGGTACGACAATGTACTGTAGTATTTGAAGTTACATATGTGTGGAAATATGAATTGTTGTTAATACCATTTCAGAATTGAAATTTTTACCCAAAAGAACAGATAAATAAATGAATAATTGAAGTCCTTTGACTAGCCAAGTTTCTGGTATTCTTTATTATCTTAATTTTTTTTTTTTTTTTTCTCTGATTGGGGAACACTAATGAAAAATGTAGATCTGAGGTTGTTTTTCCTTCCTACTGCTGACTATTTTATTTTTATATGTTCTGAAAATAAATGTAGGTAAAATGGGATTCTCCTGCCTCTGGTTCATGGGATATCACAGAGGAGTTACGAAAAGTGAGATCCAAAGCAACGAAGAGATGTTAAGGACTCTACCATCGTCACAAATTGATTTGTCCCTGCACTTACTTCAGAGAATAGAAGTGCCGTTAAGTCCACAGTGGCTGACAAGGTAGAAGCTACCACGATAGACAAAGTACTCAATTCTACAAAATCAGTAGATGCATCTTTAAACTTGGTCACAGGAGTAACTACTTCATATGGCTTACCAGGTGTGATATTTTTCCCGGTTTTAGTGTAAACTTGGTATTTATAGAATTTTTTTCAACAATAGCAGAGGGTAAATTGTCTGATTTTAAATTTATTTCTCAGAATCTAGAGAAATTATAATGTAGATAATCTAAGACATGAAACCTCAATTTTTGCCCCTTCAGTTTCACAGGTGACTCAAGACTTGTTACAAAGTGAACCTTTGCCACCAAATCAAGCTAGTTTTTTTTCTGAACAAAACAAGGTAACAGGGGAGGATGCTGTGTCTTATGCTTTTGTCTTATCATTATCTTTACTTGTTTACATACAATAAAATTTCAGTGATCTGATGTCTTTAACATTTGTCTTCAGCTTCACACGAAGGACTTGGAAGATGTCCAAACCATTGAGGCAACTAGAGGTGCATCTTGTAAACCTTATCAAATATGGGCTCTATTCCTGGCATAAGGATGAGCCGCTTTATTATAGGATAAGATTGTGTAAAATGGTTGATATAACCATCTGTTACCTGATGGCTCAATTTTGTGGGGAAAAGGAGTTTTGTGTGGAACAATCGAAATAGATATTCTTTATATGATTAGAACCTAGAATATATTTACATGCACATATTTTTTTTTTTTTTGGCAAATTTTTTTCCTCCAGTATTTTTTCTCACTAATGAAATTCGCCTAATTTTGTTTATTTGGTTGCACAGAAGGGAGACCAAGCTCTGAACAGAGGCTTCAACCACCGGAAGAGTTCAACATTGTATTACAAAGGTTGGTTTTTATTTTCCCCCAGTCAGCAGTATCATCATGCAAATTTTCGTAACTGTCGTTTCAATTTTCCTTTTCTCCTGTTTTGTGTTTCATGAGCTTGTAAGTTTCTTGATGCATTTTTATTCTCTTTAAGACCAGTACTTGGATTCTGTTTGTGGTTTAATTCATATTGCTGAACAACCGACTCCTCAGCCGTCCCCACTTCCTAAAAAGGCTATATCTTGCATCCAACTTACCAATTATTTTGAGAAGCTTGCAAAATTGCGTGATACTAACATGGATACTTTTGCAAGTATCTGTGTTAGATGCTATGCTTCTTAATAATTCTCTGTACATATCTGATGAAATTCATTACAAATTTGTTCATGGAATATGATTGAATGACCAAAAAGATAAAAGATACTAATCAAGTACAGTAAGTAATAGAACTAGAACTCTTCACTTTGAAATTTAATCTTCTAGTGTCCATTGATGATCCAAAAGGCCTGAGGGTGTAGCTTCAAAGTACATAAGTTAGTTTTAGTGGTTTTGAAATTAATCCTGCATATCTATACTCTAGTGTTTGGCAAGGTTAATTGTCATTTCTCTTCTGTAATTTTATGTCTCTGCATATGTCTTAGTGATGCTGGTACTGCCAATGTTGATGGCATTAAGGATACAAATGGGACTACACAACTTTGTGACTCTAAAATAAGTGGAAATGCTCAAGGTAAGATTTCAAAACCCACCTGTTTTAATTTGTATGGACCATTTATTGATTTTACTACATACTAAGAGTTTCCCGTTGTAATTTTTGGGTGGGGTTAAGGGGTAATGTTGGGGTGTGGTTCTTATTCTGGTTTGTCGGTTGAGGGCTTAAAGCTCATTTTGCCCCTGAATGCAATTTCAGATGCAGGATTACATGACCAAAACTGTTCAGCATCAAAAGAGATTGCTGGAAAAGGTGGCTCATTTACTCCTAATGGTTTCCCTCCTTCAGGATCTTGGTAAATGGTTGCTGATACTCATTACTTGCCCATTTTCAATGTCAAATTGTGTAAATTAAATTTTAATAAACTGTTATCCTCTTCTTCAGTTTGTCCACTGGACAGGATAGAGAACAAAACGACCAGCCATCTGATGCGAAACAGAATCCAGTTGGTTCAGGCCATGACAAAGTTACTCCTGGTGTTCCCAGGGGGGAGACCTGTGCATTTTTGAGTGAAGCTTCGGTTGAAGTACCAGTTACATGTGAAATCAATAGCACTAACACTGGCTCTGAAAACAGTTCTAGCATGCCGAGTGAAGAGTTTATCACGGGACGTGACTAGGAGTTCAAAGCGCAATGCAGCAGGCAAGACAAGTGATCCACGGAGAAGCAACCGGCCAGGAAACTAACCAGATACAATAGAAAGGCGGGGTCGGCGTAAACAAGATGAATTGCGTTTTTGTACTTATTGTAAAATGTGCAGAGAAAAAGATCACTGTCACAATTAGGCATTTGTAAGTTTGTAGTGAAGTTTGAAATTTTATGGGTTTAATTCTGAGTTAGGGTTTCTTCTTTTTCTTTTCCTTTGATTGTATTTACTAGTCGACTCAGGAATTTATAGATCTTAAAGTTCAAGGCTAGAAAGTGGTTTAGTTTCTTGTGTTTTGATATTATGGCGACATATTTGAAAGCCTAAAGTGCCATTTATATTTATACCTTTGTCCACCAAAACCTCTTATTTTCACTGGTTGAATCTCGCAACTCAAAGATCATATTTTGGGGTCCGTAAATAAAATAAAATAAAAAAATACTGTATATATAAAAGATATCAACCGTTCCGTTTCCCCCTACGCACGTCGTTCTCTTAACTTGAACATACGTATAAATAACGGAGACAGAGGCGTTGTGTGAATTCATCAGTTATATTATATTATGCTTTTGCTTGGTTTCTGATAGAAAGTTGAGTAGAAATTTGTAGATTGATTAATGGAATCGTTCTCTGTCTTCCTCAGCGCAAATAGCGCAAAAGACATGGGAACTTGAGAACAACATAGTTTCCATGGAGACACCACCAACAAGTTCCGGTGACACCTCATCATCTTCTGATGCAATTTTCTACTACGACGAAGCGGCGCAAGCCAAGTTCCAGCAAGAGAAGCCCTGGGCCAATGACCCTCACTACTTCAAGCGCGTCAAGATCTCCGCACTCGCTCTCCTCAAGATGGTTGTCCACGCGCGATCTGGTGGCACCATCGAAGTCATGGGCCTTATGCAAGGCAAAACCGACGGTGATGCCATCATTGTTATGGACGCTTTTGCTTTGCCCGTTGAAGGCACTGAAACTAGGGTTAACGCCCAGGCCGATGCTTATGAGTATATGGTTGATTATTCCCAGACTAACAAACAGGTCTCTCTTTTTTTTTTTTTTTTTTGAATTCTTTTAATTTCTTAAACCCTAATTTACGCTACCATTGACTGTGTGTGCATATTTCATGTGTAATTTTCAGTGTGCTTTAATTATACATGGCCAGTGTAATTTCAAGTTTGTTTGACAATTTGCGTGAAAGAAAAAATATTTTTATGTTGCAATCAATCCTGTTCCATTGTAATTATGTGTTTGTAAATATTGCATTATTTTTCTGATTAATTGAGCTGTTTTATTCTGAAACTGGTCACTTGTCTTTTGATTTTTTTTTATTTTTTTTAATCTTTTTTTTAAACCCTAATCTAAGCTACTACTGGCTATGTGTGCATAGTTGATGTGTAAATTTTTAAATGTGCCATAATTACACATTTAATCTAAATTTTGTCTGACAAGTTGTACAAAAATTTGGTCTTGTTCTCTTGTAGTTATGTGTTTGTTGTTACTGGTAGTTTATTTCTGTTCAACTGAGCTGTTTTATGTGTAAAACATAGACAGATTGTTTAACCATGACGGGGAAGTTATCAGCTGTTGTGATTATTTGTAATTTGTTTTTTTCTTTTATGTTATACATAGGAGAGTTTTCTTACAAAGAATGATCTGCTGTATGTTTAGGCAGGACGGCTGGAGAACGTTGTTGGGTGGTACCACTCTCATCCCGGCTATGGATGCTGGCTTTCTGGTATTGATGTTTCAACCCAAATGTTAAATCAGCAATTTCAGGAGCCATTCTTGGCTGTTGTGATTGATCCAACAAGGACTGTTTCTGCCGGGAAAGTTGAGATTGGTGCATTCAGGACATACCCGGAAGGATACAAACCTCCAGATGATCCTGTCTCTGAGTATCAGACCATTCCTCTCAATAAGATTGAAGACTTTGGTGTGCACTGTAAACAGGTTATTATATTGTTCATGATCTCTTGCTTTGGGGATTTGGTATTTTTTTTTTCATTGTTAGCTTACTGTTTGTATATTTATCTTGTGTTTTGACAGTATTATGCATTGGATATTACTTATTTCAAGTCATCTCTTGATTGCCACCTTTTGGATCTTCTGTGGAACAAGTATTGGGTGAATACTCTTTCCTCTTCCCCTTTGCTTGGTAATGGGGACTATGTTGCAGGACAAATTTCTGATTTAGGTAATCTTTTTGGTCATTGTTATGATATAAGTAACTTTAATTCTTTTTCTTATAATTTTAGTCTCTTGTTGTTATTAGAAATTATTGCACTGAGGAAATTAAGTTGCATGAGTGCATAAGTGTAAATTACAGTATATATGATCTTGCTTACATGTAAGATAAATTGAATGGTTTTTCTCCCATTGTTTGTTGAGATGATCCAATTTCCTTTGCATCTTCCAGCTGAAAAGCTAGAGCAAGCTGAGAATCAATTGTCTCAATCTCGTTACGGGCCCTTGATAGCACCCCCTCAAAGAAGGAAGGAGGTCAGTGTCATATTTCTATTTACATAATTGTCTTGTTTGATTTAGAAGTAGAGGTGCTTTAGCCTTAGTCATAGGGTACCATGGATTTGATCTGGTTCATTTGTTCTCAGACAGTCCGTATGAAATTTTAAAAAGACTTAGTTGATACTATGCTGTGGTAGCAAATTTTCAGAAAAATAATTGATATTATTCCCTTCTGGCCTCACTACGTCTTTGATGTCTGTTCAATTAAGATTAATTGATATAATCTGTCAAAAATTTTGGTTGAGGATATGCCAAATGTCTGTTTATATTACTCTCACGGAGCAATGTTTCGGATTGTTATCATACACAATTTCAAAAGATATTTTGGAGCATATTATTTTGTTTAATTAATTTTTGAGTAAATTACCCTTTCTTTATGGTGTTTAGTATCTTTGAAGTATACCTCTACAGCTGTAAAACATTTAAGTAAGACGGCTTTGGTACTGGCACATTCATGGATGACTGATAGATGCATCATAGACTTGTAATCAAATAGATGCACATGTTTGACTATGGCTTTATCTACACTGAAAGTGACTTTTGATGATTCAATGTGTAGAAAGCGATGCAAGCTTCCGTTCAATTTGGATGCTGCCCTTTAGGAAACATTGATTTTACTAATTTTTTTGAACTTCTCAGTATAGTTTGTCATTTCCCCATATAGTATATGAATTTCCACCAAGTGATTTGCTTCATTTTTTTTTTTTTTTTTGGCTGTCTTTCTTGATTTTCTGATTGCAACAGTATTTTTTTGGATTGATTGGCTTTAACATTTCATTGCCTGTATGCTCGCAATCTTAGAGGGAAAAAATGAAATTGAAGTAAAGAAATGCTTTGAGATGGTTTATATATAGATATGTTACATGCTTATCAGTAATGTTTTCTCCTGTGTATTTGTTGACCAACTACTTTCTGTCTGTTAGCTAGCTTTTTCTCCTATAATTATAAATTCTACTTTGCAACGTACACTGAAGTGTAGTTTGGAACTGATCAAGCCTAGGAAAAAGTTGCTTCCTTTCAAGTTAATTGACAAAAATGAGACTTAATGAGAATTCCAGCAACCAAGTGGAAGACAAAAAAAAAAAAAGAAAAAGATAAAAGAAAAGATTGTTCTTGAAATGAAAAAAAAGATGGATTTCTTAGCTCAGAGTTTACAGAAAGTTTTACGTCAAAAGTTTGGTATAAATTAATTGAAAAAACTAGTTGACAATGATTTAAAAAGGCTATTGTAATAGTCTTTAGTAAAAGTAGTCTCTTGGCTATTAAAGCCCAACCATTCAAAACCTATAGAAGTCACATACATGTCACATGACCCTTTTAAGACCTTATAGCCATTATAATAAATAAGACACAAGACTGGAAATATATACTGGGGATGTGAATGAGGCGCATACTAGTTGCAATATTGCTATAAAATTTGATTAAAAAACTTAAAACTTTGATTGTCTAGTTACTGGTATAAAAGGTCAAAATATTATATATATTATTATCAAACTGGCATTTCTCTTGATAGATGTAAGTGTAGAAGTTGAGTTTGTGTTCCATGTAAGTCAAAAGTCACAGCAATTTAAAATCTCTAGTATTGCATGCAGAACAGTATTTGCAATTATGAAGTGATTCACTTTAATATTGGTACCATTTGCAGGAAGATTCTCAACTTGCTAAGATCACCCGTGACAGTGCCAAGATAACTGTGGAGCAAGTCCATGGTCTAATGTCACAGGTAATTAACCATTCTCCTCCTATATCTTAAGATATCCTTATCTTTAATGTGAACACTTTTGCAAACACAAGTTAGTTTTGTTGTACACTAAATATTTTTCTTCTTTTAAAAATAAATAAATAAAATTGTCTGCGCAGGTTATCAAAGACATCCTTTTCAATTCCGTACGCCAATCCAACAGGTCTCATCCCGAGCCATCTGGCCCTGAGCCCATGATTGAAACCTGAGGTTCTCCCCCTATCTTAGTGCTTTCACAAACACAGCTGCAGCTAGAAATGAATGTTTTTATCTCCTCTGCCTCCCTCACCCGCCAGACCGGATTACAATTTTAAAGAAGAAAAAAGAAGTCAGACATTACATTAAATCCCAGGCTTCTGAAGTTTTTCCCTGATGTAAATCCTTTGTGTATTCATGGTTGATTAATTTGGGATTTTCGGGTTCTTGCATATTTTGGAATTATTATAAGCTAATGATATTTTTAGCCTCGATTCTGAGTGGATATGAAAATCTTGCACATGGGTGTGAGTTTCTCAATGTTGTCAATCTTCTTGTTTCCCTGCCCATGAGTTGTCGAATTCATTCAAACGGGCCCCATTACGACTCATAAATATTATTGATAAATCCGAGCCAATCTTTTACAGTGGGCTGATTTGCCCGATGCCATATCTGCTCAAACTATAAATGTTCCATTATCTTTTTAATGGTTGTGGAACAAAGTGACAGTGACAACGACCTACCGTTCCCTCTGCTTCTTGATCGCTGTGAAGCAGTTCCTCTGTTTTTAACCCAATTTTTAAATTAATCCAACAACAAACAAGAGAGAGACAAAGATAATTCCCCTTCAAATATAGAGAGAGGCTTTTATTCAAATGAGATGTTGAAAGCTTCATCCATTTTATAGGTGTGTCAAATTAATAATCCATACCTTTTCTTGTTTTATCAAAAAGAGAAGAAACAAAAGCGAAAAAGTTATTAAAAAAAATTGATTAAAATATGAGAGAATAGAGTCATAGAGGAAGCCAGGCTAGCAGCAAATACACATCCAGTGTGTATATATACATAGAAAAAAAATTGAATAGGATAAGATAGGGATATGTTGCGTTATTGAATTTTCACATGCAAAACCATTGCGAGTGTTTATTATATATTTATTTATTTATTTATATTACAAAGAAATTCAAGAATACAATGATTTTAGATGCCAAAAGAGAAATTGAGGACCTCTGAAAGAGCCTTCCTCATCAGCATCACCGTCACTACAAGTCTACAACCCACTAAATAGAAAGGCCAAATACAAAAAGCCTTACCAAATCTCTCCACTTTTTTTTTATCTTTAGTGCTTCTTCTGTGGACTCTCTTACAAATAAAACCATCATACCTTCTATGACTCTCTTTTCTCTCTCACTCTCCACCATTTGTTAGGTTAGATTAGATTAGATTAGATTCCCACCCCTATAAGATAACAAAAAGGGGGATGTTTTCACAAGCAAAAAAATGGTCCTCTTCATGAACCTTGCTCTGTTTTTTTCTATTTCTGTTCAATTAAACCTCTCTCTCTTTCTCACTTGTGACAACTTCACATGTAACAAACTCTCCACCACTAAACACTCACCATATTCTTCTTTTCTTTTACCTTTCTTTCTTGTGAATACCAATTTTCCTAAGCTTATTTTATACACTATTTCCCCAAATGTGACACCTCTTCTACACTATTTCCCTTACTCTAACTCTAACTCTAACTCTAACCCACATGCCTGCCTTCAACAACTTCTCGACTTGTAACCAATTTCTCACCTTTTATTTTCCCACACGGTATTTCATGTGACTTCCATTCAACTCACCCATCTTCCTTTCATACTATTCTCAACATCGGAGAAAAGCAAGTTTTGAACTATTTTAAGGTCAAATGTTAGGATGTGGGCCCTAATTTGATCGTTTTTATATTCAAGTCATAATACACCTTAATCAAGGTTCTACCTTATCAAGAACATTATTGTTTTTTACTTGTATAAATAAGCTATAATTAACGTAAGAGATTAGTCCAACGGTCAATCAATTTACATCTTTTTTTGAGTTTTTGAGTTCAAACTTTAAGGTCATTTATCATAATAACATCATGGTTTATCTGATTTTATAGAATGTTTAATAAACCCCAAAGATTTGTTAAAATACATATAAATTGGTCCAAACATACTATTCTCAACTCACCTATCTTCCTTTCATACTATTCTCAACAACTCACCGGAGAAAAGCAAGTTTGAAACTATTTTAAGGTCAAATGTTAGGATGTGGGCCCTAATTTGGCCGTTTGTATATTCATTCAAGTCATAATACACACTAATCGAGGTTCTACGTTATCAAGAACATTATTGTTTTTTACTTGTATAAATAAGCCATAATTAACGCAAGAGATTAGTCGGTCAATCAAGTTTGCCTTTTGTTTTCGAGTTCCTAAGCTTAAACTTTAAGGTCATTTATCACAATAACATCATGGTTTATGTGGTTCTTTGAGTTAATAGAATGTTCAATAAACCCGAAAGATTTGTTAAAGTATACGTAAACTGATCCAGACACCCGTAATAGAATAATATTATGCATAAATTTTAATACCATTGAAAGGTCTACCTTGTAACATCATTCCTGTCTAAATTAAACTTTCATTGATTGAAATGTATTTGTATTATTGTATTATCATTAGTCTAGGTCTATAGAGGAAGAATTATGGTAAAATAATAAATAGCGTAATCAGTAGGGCAAATAGTGGGATGTCTACTTCAGAATTGAAGAGCAGGGACTTCACTGTTTGTGGGAAAACATTGTCCCTTGAAAGTTAATACAAATTTCCCCAAATTGCATCAAAAAAGACCAAAACCATTGAGTATGTCAACAAGCAAAACCTTCCCTGATTATAACCCAAGAATCTGAAATCAAATACAAAATCATAACCTAAATCCTAAAATTGGTAGCCTAAAGCCATTTGGGGCCAATAAATTTGGAGGGTGTAGAGAGAATTAGTACTATTATTCCCCTATTTGTAATGAGCATCTCTTCTCTCTGCCCTCCCTTTTCTTCCCTAACTTTATACTTCTTCTCTTTGTTTAATTATTCATTGCTTCAAGTGGGTCAAGTTTCTCCTTTGAAGTGACACTAAAGAGAGCCATGTGGGGGCTTTGGGAACCTAAATCATGGACCATTTTCCTCTTATATATTCAATAAAATTAATTTTTTATATAAAATCCTTACCCCATTATGAATGCCTTATAAGTGGGAATATAATATTTTAGTAGGCTAAGGTCCCCATCCCTTTATCTTTATGACATTTCCCCATTTTTTTTTTGAACCAAATATAAAAGGGAGAACGACATTTTCCCACCCAAAATTTGGCAAAACGACACTTCCGCACCCTTCATTAGGTTTTCTTATGTTTTCCGTTAATATTTTATTGAAAAGACAAAAATACCCTTAAATATTTTACTTATAATTTTTTAATTAGCCAAAAATTCGAATATTAAAAAATAAAAAAAATAAAAAAATAGTTACCTTTACCTAAAAAGTTATGAGTAATGCTATGAAATTGTTTAAAGTCAAATAACCTTAATATTTATTTATTTATTTATAAGGTCGTCAATATTTCATCACTATTATTCAATAATCTACTAAATTTATAATTTTTTTTATTTTTATTAATTAAGATAGAAAATCAATATTTCTAATTAATTAAATAAGCAAAGGAAAAAAGATATATTTACACTTGAACTAATAAATAATTAAATAAAGACTTTGACTTAACTAAATTTTAATTTATAATAAGCTAATTAAGAAATAAACTATTTAAAGGTATTTTCATCTTTTCAATCAAATATTAACAGAAAAAATTAAATGAATGGTGGAAAAGTGTCGTTTCGCCAAACCTTGGGTGGGAACACGTTGTTCTCCCAATATAAAAATCCTTAACTATTCTCCAGTAATTCTGAGTATTCATCTCACGTAATAGTCACATCAGTTGAGATCCAAAACACTAGTAATGGTATGTAATCTTTTTATCATAACTGGAAATTATATATTAATTTAATCTAACCCTTTTAAATGTTATAGATTTTTTTTTTTTTTTTTTTTGGGTGAACGAGGGCAGTTTGAAATTAATGATCAGATAACGGATAAACCCTTTGGTAGTCACCCTATTAACAATCACATAAAATCAAATTTAAAATCTTTTGAATAATACATTCAATAATTTTTATTGTCACATCCGAATCATCTAGGGTGGTTATATGTATACCATGTTCTTTGAATTACAATGACTTCAACTTTTCCTCCTAATAAAACTCTATCACTTTCGGAGTTTTCAAAGTTTACCTACCATTGTTTTGGTGGTTGTAATTGAGATAACCTTCAAGACCCATTGAAGGGTTTTAGCTTTAGAAGAAGAGTCAATTTAAAACAAGTCTTAAAATTGGCCTCCAACACTCTGGAATTTACAAAGGCCATGTTGTTTTAAAAGTCGTTTAAGATCAGCTTCTTGCCCCCCCCTTCCCATTATCCTGTAACATCATTTATTTATTTATTTATTTTTATTTTAACTAAATCATTGACGGGATATTTTATTTTATTTTATTAAAAATAAAAAAAATAAAAACCCCATTTGACTAAATGTGAATCATAATTTTAAGCATGAAGTCATGGCCAGCCCCACAAACTGTTTGTATAGTCAAGAGACATGATTATTATTAATTCATTATCAATTAATAAAAGTTTTAATTACCCTTTAATTGACTTTAAATTTTAAGATTTACCCACATAACAAATTAATTACATGTATATAATATGGTTTATTGACTTCAACGTTAATCCCATTTATTTTATTCCATAATTGGCCTAATTAAATTATTAAAAAAAAAAAAAAGAGCATTAATTAACGCTGATAATAATGAACCATTCCATCATGCATGTATTTATACAATTGGAACCTTTGAAATTAAGTAAGAGATACTTAATTAAATTAATATGTAAAATTAAATAATGAAATAATTTGTTTCCGTTACGTAATTTTAGCTTCAGCATGTGATATTATTCTTTTAGTTTATTAAAATTCTTCCTTACTGGGAACAATAACATGTGCAAACTCGTTTAATAATTTCACAATTTTTGTTTTAATCGATGGATTTTAATTTTTAAACATTAATAAAATGTTTATTTTCACAAAAAATAACGTCGGTTTGTTAAAAGGACCCACTTTAAATTTAGCTCAATCACAGCCGTTAATCTTAATCATCAGTCGACTTCATCACAAAATCGAGTCTGTATTTAAAAAGACTTTCCTAGTTACAATACCGTCACGATCACGTTCACTAAATAAAATATATCCAACGGCTATGATGCAATCAATCATTTTCGAAAGTCATAAAAGAAAAGTCAGATGTTTGTGATGGGCTGGCTGATCAACGGTGACCAAACCCACTTGTTTATTAAAATTCTTACTATTTAATAATTCGGATCCAG